CACCAGGGCCAAGCTCTCCAGCCAGGCCTTCTCCCTACGTTCATCAGCTCCCCCCCCACCACCAATTCCCTCCTATTTTTGCAGCCTGAGCAGAGAATAACAAACCCAGAAGCTTTCATAGTGTCACCCAAAGTCACACCGTGCACACATATGCTTGACCACATATTCACACGTAATGAATTTTTTAATTGAATTAGGGAATTGTTATGTAAATTTGGCACCATTTCTCTCGTTTTGTATGGATGGACACAAGCACATAAAGATTAAGAGGTTACTCTCAAAGTTGCATGGTTACAACTCAAGGCAGGACCCCCAGTGCGGCCATCAAATCAAATTTTTGAGACTTAAGATCTTCCTCTGTAATATAGGATCATATGGTCCCAGCATTAAACTAGAGCTTGAAATACCTACTGAACTGCTTATAGTGGGATTTCAGAAAATGTTTGCTTCTTCCCTGCAATTTTCACTAAAGTGAAGATGATATTTGAGAGACAATTTGTGAGACCTAATTCTGGTTGAGGCTAAGAATTCCATTAGTTTCCCAGTCACTAACAAGTTCATTTAACTCTTTTTGCTCTTGGATGTATTTATTTTTTACACAAGAATGTTCTGTGATTATATGATTCTATCATATTTTCAGTTTAAAATCTGACCTAATAATTAGCATATAGCAAGTCAAGAATCTTCGGATAATAAATATATGAGCAAATGGTGGTATCCAGTGCTTTATTACAAATAATACAAAGTACTTTATTTTCCAGCTGTTTCATGACACATTTGAGAGTGACATAGGTATTTTATTGTTTCTGTGGATATTTTAAAGTAAATTCTAGGACATTTTTCAGTAATTGGATTTTTTAAAAATTGTCCCACATATCTAAGTTACATTTTTTACACGGTTGCAGCACAGTACTTCCCTTTGACTCTCATTTGCACCTCTGGCTTTAGTCTTCTTAAGCAATCTCTCTCTCTCTCTTTCCCTCCCTCCCTCTCTCTCTCTCTCTCTCTCTCTACCTCCTCTCTCTCTCTCTCTCTCTCTCCCTCCTCTTTCTCTTTCTCTCTCTCTCCCCCCACTCCCCTCTCCCTCCCTCCCTCTCCCTCCTCTCTCTCTCTCTCTCTCTCTCCCTCTCCCCACCCCCCTCTCCCTTCCTCCCTCCCTCTCTCCCCCTCCTCTCTCTCTCTCTCTACCTCCTCTCTCTCCCTGCTCTCTCTTTCTCTCTCTCTCCCCCCACTCCCCTATCCCTCCCTCCCTCTCCCCACCCCCCTCTCCCTCCC